AGTCACCAAGCATTAAAATGGATTTTGTTTTTAAATACATGTTTTAGAGAGAAGAAAAAAATAATTATCAATTAATTCGCTGCCTGGTGTGTTCAAGAAGAATGGTGGAACACTCATGCGTAAATCTATAAAGGAAAACTCCTTGGAGAAGCTCACGTGCTGTGTAATTAGAGTTAATTAACACATTTGCTAATTGACTATTATTTAGCACTCCAGCTGCTGAGGAAAGATCCATAGGCCCATTAAATATTAATTAGCAAAAGTCTATTGTCTGATCCTGTCAGATTCTGTATTGATGAGATATTTACAAGTGCATCTTTGTTCGGCTGGGTACAGAGTAACACACAGTCGTTGGCCATTGAGGAATAAGAAAGCGAGAATCTCACCCATAAACACATATGTCCTATATTTCAGTCAATTATTTTTTTCTCTCCTTCAACTGAATACATTGCCAAAAATACTAGAAATAATGTATTCATCTGTGTTTGTATAGTTACCTACCTTGGGATTAATGTGGTTCCCATTATACCAAATTCTGGTATTCACTTGACAGCCTATGTGACATACCCTGTAGAAAATTACAGAAAAATTAACCCATTTTTTTAAATAGTAAAAAAAAAAAAATGCTCTCTGCAGCTTTTTAAAAATAGCTTTATTGAGATATAATTCACATACCATACAATTCACCCATTTAAACTGTATAATTCAATGGCTTCTGGTATACTACACTATTTTTTAATTGTTAAAATAATTCAGTTTAAAATGAATATTATATATATACACATATATATATATATGTCATAAAATTTGCCATTTAAACCATTTTTATGTGTACTATTCAGTGGCATTAACTACATTCATAATGTTGTAAAAAAAAAAAAAAACCCCATAGTTTTTTTTAAGTTTATTTAAGTCTCCTGGTGACGGAAGGCACAATTTGAGAACAGATCCATCTGCTGTTCCTACTCTAAAAAGTTCAGTTTCCAAGTGGTAAACTGTCTCACTGCTCAGTCAGCAGTATGACTGTGAAATTGCTCTCTGATTGGAAGCCCGTCTGCACATCACCTGTTTTGATTGTTTTCCCTTTTCTTGATTAATTCTGCCTCCAACGTCCACACTTGGCCGAGCAACAATACTGAACGAAAACATGTGCCCTTTTTCCTGCTTTCAGGTAGCAGTGCTCCTGGCAGTTCTGCTTTAGTCAAATTGCTAGGAGCATTTCCAGGTATCCGAAGATTTCAGTTGACATATGCCACATTTCCTCCCCTATCACTTGCCACCCTCTTCCTTTTTCCAGAGGAACCCCACTAAGATGACAGTCCCGCCCAAGTGATCACAGTGAATCTAATAGTTTATTGGCAATGTGGATCCCTCCACAGTGGCCCTGCACAAATTCTCTGGGTAATTCACTTAATGGAAAACTGCTCTCTCTTTCCGTTTAGTGACCCTGGATATTGACAATGGTATCAAACCCAAGTCTGTCCAAGGACTAGTCTTATTTTTATGCTCTATTATTTACCCTTCTCACCAGACTGCCAAATTCCTGATCAAGTCACCCCATTTCGTGACCCTAAATATGTGAGGGCTCTTTATTTGGTCATTCTTGATGCTGTGATCAGCTTTCTCAACAAGCTCCAGACAACTACAGTTATATGCTCCTGTAATCAGACTGGAGGGCAACTGGTAATACCTACCCACCTTCAGCTACCTGCAGCCTAAGCCATTTACTCTGTCTTATTTTTATCCATGGCTTTTGACCTTATATTATTTACATTTTATTATAATCTACCCCATCATGGCTAACTCCAAGATATCTGCACTACTTCAAGTACCTAGAACAGAACGTGGCACATAGTTTGTGCATAATAAACATTTGTTTAATGACTGAATGAATTTTAAATCTCCAATAGTGATAAGCCAAATTGTGAAATTATTTACTTTGTCATTATAGAAATATTTTCTACATCAAATATTCCTTTTCCTTTCATTTTGTTGCCAAGATTGGATGATGATGATAGAGAGGGAAACAATGATAGATAAATTTATTCTGCATTCTGGCTATTTATATACTTTGTCAGCTTTGTTGATGAGGGGGCTAAACTAAGAAAGGTAAATTTTATGTGGAAAATTAGAGGTAAGTTTAAATTAGTAAAGGTTTTAAAGACCCTTAATAAATTTACTGCAGGGCAATTCTAAATGAAGAAGGAGAAGAAGAAGAAGGAAGAGGAGGAGGAGGAGGAGGAGTGGGGGGAGGAGGAGGAGGGGGAGGATCGAGGAGGAAAACAACAACCACATTAATTTAAAAGAATATAGCTTGGCATCTCTTTTTTGTGGATGTCCGATCATATAAGTTCATACTTTATTCAAAAGTTATTGATGAAAAAGACAATATTGAGAAACCAGGGCTCCATGTACCAGAAGTCATTTGATTGATCATTAAATGAGAGCCCTAATGGACACATGTGGCAATAAATATTGGTTATGAAACTGGCTAGTGTCTAGATTTGCAAAAAAATAATCAGGGGGCAAAAACATAGAGAGTGTTGATCCTACCTTTGTGAGAAGAGTAAGACTGATCACAAATATGTGCATAGTAAAAAATGTTCCTATATGTGAATTTTGGCATTCATAAGAGAGCATTGGTTAACTAGGACCCCTATACTGCCATTCAATTATGAAGGAGATTTTACTTGAGGGTATTTTATAATCCTCATATAATTGTGTATATAATGAATTAATAACAAAGCAGCAAAGAAGTACACCTGAAACCTCAAATCCTATTTGAAGTTGGGGCAAAGAGGCAGGGGGAAAAGATGGAATGTGGACAGAATTGTTTAGCAGAGAGGCTCATTCATGAGAGAGCTCTCTCCCTTTAACAACCTATGATGCTCTCTAATGATTTCACATCTGATTCAGAACTATTAAGTGTTATATAATTATTAAATGTAAGTATGCATTATTATCTGAAGATTATAAAAAGCAAGATATGTTTGTTAATTAAAATAATATTTTATGAAAATATAAATCTTTTTCTCCCTAAAAAAAAATCCATTTAGAATAAGCAAAAGAAGTGGAGCTGTAAAATGTTACAGATTAAATGGGGGGAGTGTGCCCAGAGGAAAAATATTTTTAATACTGAGTACAATTTATATCTCAACTCAGGAAGCCAAACCGCATAGCAGGTAAGTGAGGTTATCTCCCTGGAGCAGACTGAGTCTCGAAACCTCACTTTGGGTAGAGGGTCTGACAGCTGGAACTCATCATCCCAGTTTCTGACATCACTGTCTCGTGTCACAAATACCATGAGAAACACTTCATGTAAGCTGCCCAAGATGAAACAATGACTTAAACCATTCTCCATGCCAGAATTCCCCAGGGAGTGGCTCTGCTATCTGTTCATCTTCCAGTCAGCCTCAATACTCTTAGACATCTCCTGCTACTCAAAGGCAATCATTTCTTTGCCATTATCAAATGGACCAGAATCAAATGATGACATCCTCATCCTTCCTTCTTTCCTTCCTCATCTACCTCCCTTTCCTTGAGTCTAAAGTGGATAGAAGAGTCAAGCCTGGCTGTGTGGCTCAATGGTTGAGTGTCAACCTATGCACCAGAGGTCATGGTTCGATTTCCAGTCAGGCGCATGCCTAGGTTCCAGGTTCAGTCCACAATAGGGAGCGTGTAGGAGGCAGCCGATCAACGATTCTCTCTCATCGTTGATGTTTCTATCTCTCCCTTCCTCTCTGAAATCAATAAAAATACATTTAAAATTTTTAAAAAGGAAAGTGGATAGAAGAATCAGGAACACTTTAGTGCCTGCTGGGACAGCTATATGCCACTGTCTCTGCTTTAGGCTCCATCTCAGAGTAACATGAATAACAATAACACTGGACAAAAGCAAATGAAGAAAACTTGAAAATAGATTTAACCTATTTCCACCCATACCCAATACAATGTTGGTTATATAGCAACCTCATACAACCACCAACAAGGAAGGAAAAGGACAAAACAGACATGTTATTTAGGAAAGTACACTAGGGATAGAGAAATATGAATCCAGAGAACACTGCCTTATAAGATGGATGTTAGCTTCTATAACTCTACTTCATATTAACAATAACTTATTATTTTGTAAATATAAATATTCTTTATGAGAGATGAATGCATAAATAAGTGGAGGAACATCCAGAATATTATTCAGTGATGAAAAGAAATGAGCTATCCAGCCATGAAAAGACATGGAGGAAGCTTAAATGCATAAAAAATACAATGCATATTACCAAATGAAAAAAGCCAATCTGAAATGCTAAATAATGTATGATTCCAACTATATGACATTCTGGAAATGGCAGAATTATAGAAACAATAAAAAGATCAGTGTTTGCCAGGGAGTAGGAGTGAGGGTAGAATGAATATGCAGAGCACAAGGGATTTTTATCTCAGTAAAAAATACTCTGTATGATGGATAGATGTCATTATACATTTGTTATTATATTCATTACACATTATATATATGAGAAATTTCTGTACTTTCCACTCAAATTTGTTGTGAACCAAAAACTGCTATATAAATAAGTCTATTAAAGTAATAAAAAATTAAACTTAAAAAGATATATTAGTCTGCTTTGGCCAGTTTTTCTCCATGGTTAGAGCATCAGATCTCGGACCAAAGGGTTGCAGGTTCGATCCCCAGCCCTGACTGAGGTATGTGCAGGGCATATGTATCTTTCACACTGATGTGGGGGTTTTTTTTCCTCTCTCTCTCTCTTTCCCTCTCTCCCCCTTCTCCTCCATCCCCGCTTTCCTCTCTCAAAAAATCAATGGAAAAAATATCCATCAAAAGGTATGTCCTTTTGATGCATAGAATCTGTGGAAGGCCAAAATTATCATCCTTTTTTCTGTACATTTTGTAATAAAGAAGCAATTATAGAATGTGTCTTAGAAGGAACTCTCCTGACCAATAGATTAAGGCAATGCTTCTCTCTCCACCTGTCTATTGGCAGTCACAGAATCGCAATAGGTGCTAAAAAGTCTTCTGGAATAAATGCTGAAGGCTGTGCACACTTGATGTTGAGACCTGTTTAACAGTCTGAGAACACCCAGATAAAAGAGAGATTAAAGGAGGAGCAATGGGGATCCCCAAAAGATTTGTGGGAAAGAAAAATGAAATTGCAGAGTGAACTTAACTATGCAACAGCCTGAGTAGTGGATGATAATAGATGCTTCTAGCATAGCTTGGCCAGGAGCTTGTCCCATTCCAACAATCCTAGGATACGTGCACACCACCAAAGGCAGGGACGGTGAGTGCATTGGAAGTATTGCTCACTAAATTCTGAAATAATTATGAACTCAGCCAACCTTGCTAAGGCATTTCTCTGCTCTCATTCCTCAGCGAGAGCAACACAGGAGTGTTCTCCTTCCCATCTCACTGGATTTCGGGCAACACAGAAGGAGTGTTCTCCTTCCCATCTCACTGGATTTCTGAGGCTGGGCCTGACTGTCCAGTTGCAATGGCATTGAGACAATAGTTACGGCAATTGAAACAGAATGTCCACTCAGAGACTGTGGCTCTGTTGGGACTTGGTGGCAGTCTCCAGGTGATCTTCCATGGCAATTAGTGAGGGAAAGGGCTCATTTGTGGATTCATAATGGCACTCGTATTTATTCCAAGAAGTACTTGGGGAGGGTTTCTCTGCAAAAGATTAAACTCCCTGCAACCAAGCAGGTGGGAATTAGAAGCCACCTATATTTAGCCACCTATATATATAGCTTTTATATAATAAAACCTGAGACAAAAAGGATGGAGTAAACTGGATCCTAGAAAACTGCCTTAATAAATCCACATTCTTTTCTGTGACACCACTTTGAATCAGCAAGGTGGCAAGATTATATTTACAAATGCTTAAGTGGTGAAAAAAATATTTTTCTTTATTTAAAAATTGAACTTATTGGGCGACATTGGTTTTTAAGATTATGTAGGTTTTCAGTGTACATGTCTATGATACATGATCTGTATATTGCCCACCACCCAAAGTCAATGTACAAAGCTTTTAAACTTATTGTCCAAATTATTATTACAAAGGCCAACTGTTGCTTAGGTTTTGGTCCCATGCAGAACATCATTTGTGAGTTTACATGCTGTAAACAAGCTGTAACTTACTGTAGCATTTTTTATTTATAAAGTTTATTGCCAAATGTCTTGGTGGTGCTTTATTCATTAGGCTTTCCCTTTCCCTTTTGAAGTCTGAGTATATGCAGGGACAGAGTCACTACTGTAGCAGTAATCTTTTATTTAAATATTAGATAAATATTTCAAGGGCACAGAGTGACAAAGGAAGCACTTTATTACCTCAGACTGAAGATTAAGAGAGGGATAAAAGGAACAGGAAAGAAAAAGTTGTGGAACGTGCTGCTATTGAAAATCCAACACAACCCCCACGATTGGGCAGCTCTACTGCCAAGAGCCATTCTTGCCCCTCGTTACAGAAATGGTCATTAACGTTTAATACCTCCTGGGAGGGGGAGCGACTTTGTGAGCTGGGAGATTAGTGTTGTCTTCTTTCCTGCTATTTATGGAGCTTCGGGGCTCGTGTGACATTTCCATCCCACTTGCCCGTTCTCTCCACAGCCGATCCCTTAGAGGCAGAGGAACAGGTTGCTTTTCCCATCTGCTCCATACCTCTGATCTCCAGTCTTGGCAAATTAGTTTTCAGACAAATAAAAAATATTTTGATAGTAAATCCTTCTTTATAACATTCCCCTGGGGAGGGAGTAATCAGCCTTAGAATATCAGCACACCATCAGTTTAACCAAATTTGAGTATTGCAGTCTGGTTGAACATAATTTCCTCTCTTTGTCACTGAGCATTTTCTTTTTTTCCCCTTCTGTCTTTTATTCCTCTCCTAAATCCCAATGCCCAAATAGTAATATTTTGATAGATTAATCATCATCAGGTAACCATAACCTCTGGAAAAAGCATGTGGGGTTTTTTTTCTCATTTATATCAGAAAATGAGTTTGAATTCATAAACCAATGGTGTTTCTTTTGCAGCTCTGTAAAAACATACAATCTCTATATGTCTGGGTTACTGTATCTTCTTTGTGATTATTGTATAAATATCTATGCAAAATTGCACAAATACAAAACCAGACACCTCAATTCTTATTAAAAGTGAACTAGCTAAGAAAGTAGATCTTAAAAGTTCTCTTCACAAGAATAAAAAAGTTGTAACTGTGTGGTGATGGATGATAACTAGGCTTATTGTGGTAATCATTTCACAACATATACAAATGTGGAATTATAATGCATATGCCTGAGACTAATATGCTATCTGTCAATTATATCTCAATTTTTAAAAAAGCAAACTAGAAAGTGACTAAAGAATTATTTAGAACCATCCTAAACCAAGTGAAGTAGCAATATACATTTTTTTTAATTTTTACAGTTTTATTTAATGAGTATTAAGTTCCTTGCAGAAAACACAGGATTTCTACCAATTAAATAATAAGAAAGATTGTCTGTATACATATAACCTTGTCAACAAAAATTTCTTCTTTGTGGATCCAAATTCATGAATAGGCCTAAACTGGCAGTCCCTATTTTTCATTTATTATGGGTAGAGTCCCCATTTTACAAACAAACCTCTTTTTTATGGGAAAAGGGGCAGGGTTTCAGAATATCTTTGGTGTATATTTCCTGATATCTGAGGGGCAGAATTCTCCTGTTGTCCATCAAATGACATGAACTGTAGCTGCAGCATAATATGCAGGGGCACTCTACTCTAGAATTAAATACTTATAAAACAGAGTTAAATATAAGTAAAGACATAATGCATAAGGATAATCCCCTCGTAACTGTGTATGCCCTCCAATCTTGTCTAACTATAATTTGCTTACTGTGCCTCAATGAAAAAAAATTTTTTTAATCTTCACCCAAGGATATGTTTAGATTGATATTTAGAGAGAGAGGGAGAGAGAGAGAGAGAGAGAGAGAGAGAGAGAGAGAGAGAGAGACATTGA